GAGTGGATGGAGACGGAGATAGGCATCCGCATCTTCCTCTCGCCGGAGGAGGCCGTTGCGGCGCTGCGCTCGCTGAGCCGCGAAGTCGCCGGGCTGACTTACGGCTGGGGCTCGCCGGACCACCCCGACGTGACCGGAGAGTATCTGGCCAACGTGCGGCGCTTCCTGCGCCACCCGCTCGGCGAGCACGTGACCGCCCTCTTCTGGGAGTGCGCCCGCCTCCCCAGACCCATCCCGGACCCAGCGGCTGCGCTGCGTGGGAGGGGGCGGGCCCTGAAAAGCCCATAGCACGCACCTCTCCGCTCTCTTTTCCCTCTCTCCATACACCAGCAACCGCTCCTCGCTCGGCTCACCGCCCTCAACCGCCTCGCCCTTTTCTCCTCCACTCCGCAGCTTCTCCTCGCTCCCGCAAAAGCCAAGGACGGCGACCGAGGACAAGCTCTTCTATCAAGCTCTGGATGTGGGGGCGTGGAGACTGGAGTGGAGCTCCGAGAGATCTAGCGCGAGATCGCCCGTGATCACGTGGCGCGGCCCCCGAGATCTCTGACTCTGTACACCTTGTTCGCCAACCCCCACATGCCACAACGAGGGCGGACACTAGACTCAGCCTCCGCTCCCCACGTACGGCTTTCTCGTCTCCATCCACCACGACATACTTCACGCACTCGGTGAAGACACAGACCGACCACACAAGTACCCCCCGTGAACGCGCGTAAGAGACGAGCGCGGCCGTCCTGCGTACACATCACAGAAGACGCGCACACAAGCTCCCTTCGACCGGGTGCTCCCGACGGGGTGAGCGAGTGCCTCGCCCTCTCACCCCCGCAAACCTAGGTCCTAATCGGGCGCCACGCGCAGCCCACCGCACTCCGGGGGGGGCGCAGACCGCGAGGGCGAGGTCTGCGGCCGCGGCAGACGTCACCAAGTGCACGCGTGAGCGCGACGCAAACGCCGCGCAAGCCAGGAGGGGGGTGAGGGCGGACGCTCCGATGCACCCAACGCTCCTCCCCGCCCCGCGGGCCGCACTCGTGCAGACGCGCACACGTCACGCGAGCTTCTCGGGGTCCTTGCCGAGAGTCTTGGACATGCGCCGCGAGATCTTGCCGTGCAGCTCCTTCCCCACCGGCTCGGCGTCGACGTCCTTGCCTGCCGCACGAGAGGGCTGCTATTTGCTGTTAACTAGCTGGTAATTAAAGACAGCACATCTCGGCTGCCTCTCGGCTGTACCTCGGCTGTATCTCAGAGCCTTTGCCTGGGCGTGTATGCGACTGTGTGAACTCGGCTCGCAACGCTGCCGAAGGACAGCCGGCCGCGACGTCTCGAGTGTTCAATTAGCTGTTAATTAGCTGCTAATTAAGACAGCCGGCCGCGACGTCTCGAGTGGCACTCGGGACGGATGCAAGCGCGCGTGCGCATCTAGCTGCCCTTGCCTAGCGTCAGCGAGACGCGCCGCACCAAGTTCGCCGTCATCGCCAGCGGCGACTCGTCGTGCGCAGCCAAAGCCTATTGAAGTCCCACTCCACGTCCGATTCAAATCAGAGTCCACAGCCTGCGTAGGAGCAGCGGCCTATAGCCACCCACGGACTGACTGACTGACGTACGTAGGAGCAGCGGCCCTAGTGCTGGCTGTCCGACGGTCTCCAGAGGCTGGAGCGGCGAGTCGTCAGAGCGGCGAGACGCCACCGGAGCATCTCACCGTCCTCCCACCCATATCTCCCCATATCTCCACCAGAGCATCTCACCGTCCTCCCACCCATATCTCCCCATATCTCCACCAGAGCATCTCACCGTCCTCCCTACCATATCTCCCCATATCTCCACCAGAGCATCTCACCGTCCTCCCACCCATATCTCCCCATATCTCCCCATATCTCGCCACCAGAGCATCTCACCGTCCTCCCACCCATATCTCCCCATACCTCCCCATATCTCGCCACCAGAGCATCTCACCTCCTCCCACTCACTCTCCTACTCTCGTGCTCTCTCCCCGCAAGGCCACCACTAGCGGCCGTCTCACCCCGGCCGCCCCCCCTGTACGTACCCCCTCTGCTACGCGCACGCCTGAGGCGCCGCCGCCACGACCGAGCCGCTAGCCGCCCTCGACGCGTCGCGCGCGAGCTTCTCCTGCGTCCGAGATGCGCAGAGATGAGCCGCGAGATCGGCCGAGATGCCTCGAGATGCCTCGCTCGACGCCGCGGGGGGCCTTGGGCAGGAGCAACACAGGGGGGCTCCCCCGCAGCCTAGCGCCCTTCCCCCGCAGCCTAGCGCCCTTCCCCCGCAGCCTAGCGCCCTTCCCCCGCAGCCTAGCGCCCTTCCCCCGCAGCCTAGCGCCCTTCCCCCGCAGCCTAGCGCCCTTCCCCCGCAGCCTAGCGCCCTTCCCCCGCAGCCTAGCGCCCTTCCCCCGCAGCCTAGCGCCCTTCCCCCGCAGCCTAGCGCCCTTCCCCCGCAGCCTAGCGCCCTTCCCCCGCAGCCTAGCGCCCTTCCCCCGCAGCCTAGCGCCCTTCCCCCGCAGCCTAGCGCCCTTCCCCCGCAGCCTAGTGCCCCAGGCCTGCGCCCGCCGCTCCGCCATCATGATCGAGTTCTTGCGCGCGAGCGCCGCCCCCTCCGGCGTGTTGAACTCCTGCCGCACCTGCAGGGGCGTCCGGCGGACCGGCGGGGGCCATTCTTTGACCTCGGCTAGATCTCGGCGCGTCCAGGGAAATCGAGCGGCAGGCTGTGTGAGCGGGCGGCTCGGTAAGGCAACGTACACTTCTCCACACACACGAGGTGGCGGGGCAAGGGCCGGGCAGCCCTCGCGACTCCACGTCTAGACGACAGGAGAGCCCCACGGCATTCAAAGGGCAAGGCCCGGTGCGCGTGGGCGAGCGGTGTGGGAGTGAGTGTGTGGTGTGTGGTGTGTGTGTGTGGGGGGGGTGGGGCGGCGGCTCGACCTGCCGCCGCCACGCCGCGAGCGACTCGTTGTCGGCGATGGCGTCGCGCGAAGCCTAGGAAGGAAGGAAGGCGCGCGGTGGCGGACGAGCGCGGGTGCCAGGGGACAAGCGGTCATGCCTCGTGGCGCCTAGAAAAAGACATCGGTGCGGCGCAGAAGAACATTGTGCCCGATCAAAAGAAATCGGTGCGGCCGCCTCGGACAGCTCCGACAGCTGCCGACCAACCATCGAGTCTTTGGCGTCGTTCGACACCTAGCGGGTCCGTGCATTCACAATGAATTCAGCGGCCGCATCACGCTGCTGCTGCTGCTGCTGCTGCTGCTGCTGCTGCTGCTGCTGCTGCTGCTGCTACTCGCTACTGTGCTGCTGCCGCTGCCGCTGCCGCTGCCGGCGCCTTGGGGAAGACCTTTTGCATCACCTCGTTGAACTCCCACACGCTCTTGATCCCAAAGTACCACTTGGTCAGCTGCCAACAGGTGCCAAAGAAGGCCAGCACCAGCACGCCCCCTCCCACCATAGCGCGGCTCATCATCGCTGCGCAGGGAAGGGGAGGCAACGGCACGGGTGTATGTTGGCTCCGAGGTTTGGCATTGGTTGCGGAGCAGTGCTGCGCGGCGGGGAGGTGTTTGCGCCGGGCGCCGCGCGCGTGATGCACAAGCTTGGCTTTGGTGGCCGGGCACGGCAGCACTACGAGCGTGGCAGCCGTGCGAGCGCACCAGCCGCCTCGGCGCGCGCCTCCTCCGCCTGGCGCTCCTTCTCCGACATGGGCTTCTCCGCAAAGTCGAGCTTGACGGGACCCTTGTTCAGGTCTTTGTAAAAGTCGTTCAGGTACGCGTACCGTCCCGAGCCCATCGCGTTCATCTGCTGCGCGTGCGACTCCTCGCTTCCGCCGTGCTTGAGACCGTACTGCGCGTCGGAATAGTTGTCCTTCTTCTTCTTGGCTGCGGTTCCGACTGGCGCGCCAGGCGCAGTGGTCGCGCCGCTACAGTGCCGCGCCGGCGCCGCGCCCACGCCACGGCGGAGCGCCGGCACCACTCGATCCGGCAGCAGCAGCAGCAGTCGATGCCGTCGGCAAGCCATTGGGGTCTTGATTGCGAGAAAAAAATCGCGCCGGCAATAGGAGCGTGCCCCATCCACGCGCAGGCCGCACCTCTAGTGAGGCCCGCATAGTATGTGGGAGACTCATGCCGCCGCCCCTGCCTCCCCTGTGTCAGTGTGCCCGTGGTAGTGAGAGACTGCCGGTGAGAAGCTGGAGGAAGGTCGAAGGCCCAACTTGAGAATCGTGCTTTGAGTGGGGTTGTTTGGTGTTGGGTTGGGTTGGTGGAGTTGGGTTGTCCGAGCGGGATTGGTTGTTCACAGGTTGTTCAGTTGGGTCGTCGGCGCGAAGGGTGAGGTCTCGACCGCCGCCGCTCACGCCAGCGAGCCGGGCCACTACCGGTGTTTTTGGCTTCGCCACCGTCTAAAGCGTGCGGCACCCGTGCGCCATACTCGAGTACGCTCGCCGACATCGAACGAGCACGCCTGTCCGCGTTTTGGCGGCCCGGCGGGCCTGTGAGAATGTGTGTCGTTCTGATGTGTCACTGTGTACGTCACATCGGTCTTGATAACAAGCACGGTCGATCCGTCGAAGCGATACACTCGTTCCTATCACGTTGGACGGCTTGCACGGAGCTCTGTGCCGGCACACAGGAAGAGCCGACGGCAAGAAGAGCTCGATGGGGAGCGAGAATCGCCAAAGGTGCTCACGGAGGTTTCGGAAGTTCGCCTTGATGCGATCAGTTCCCCCCAGGTTTGACCGCGCAGCTCGCAAGACTCGTCGAGCACTCGCAGCCTCTCTGCGCCTCTCATGCTGCCGCTCTGCGGGATGTTCAGTCTTTACGATTAAGTGTTCCCGTGCCTCGACAACTGCCGCTGGTAGGCGCGCCGCGCCGAACCATGGCGGGCGCGCCGCGGCCGCGTACCGCGCGCGGCCGTCGACCGGCAAGCACACGCCTCGACTCGGACACAGTGTTCCGGGGGCAAGGGAGAGGGGCTGGCTCCTAGCCCGAGAGGAGAGCTTCCGAGACCCACTACAAGACCACGCACGCATCATCCCGCGGCCTGGCGGTCGGCGGGATTGCAACCAGTCTTCGCGTGCCGCTTGTCGTTCGCTCGGGCGCCTTGGGCGTCGGGGTGGCGAGCAGGGGACGCAGCTCTGAGCGCCCAGCGACGCGTGCCGGATGGAGTCCGGCCGCGGGTGACTAGGGAAGTTCGCTCAAGATGTGTGGCAGCCGCCTCGTTGGCTGAGTGTCTTGTCTTGTGGTTCTGTGTGTCGCTCCTAGACCGTCACTCCCGCCCTGAGGCTGGCGTGTTGAGCACGTAGGAGCGGACCTCCGCCTCCGAGCGGACGTCGCGCGAGGACCCGAGGGGCCGCGACCCGAGGGGCCCCGCCTTTCGTCCCTCGCGCAAGCCCGCCTCCACGCAAAAGGGCGCGGCGAGCCCGCCGGGGAGGTCGCGGGCGGAGGCGAGCTCATCGGCGGCGCGCCCTTCGCCGCACCCTTCGAAGCGTCGAAGCAGCGCATCGGACGCCGGGCGGCAAAGCAGCGCAGACAGCCAAGGTGTGGAAAGAAGCCGGCTCAGCGGCGTGACACGGGGGGCGCAGCTAAGCTGGACCGAGGAGGAACTCACAAAGGTCGAGGAGAAGGTGCCGGGTTCAGACCTCAGATCAGACCGCAGCAGTCGGTTTGCCATCTAGATAGCAGTCGGTGCAAGCAGCCCCGCCACATGGCCCGCCACGGAGCGCAAACCAGTCCGCAGACAGGTGCAGAATGACAGGCCCGCGGGTGTGTGGCAGCCCAGCTGGCTGTGTGTGTGTCTCGTGAGTTTGTGTGTCTGTGTGTCGCTTACGCGTTGGTGTCCAGTCCAAGACTGGCTGTTCTTCAACTTCCTTACATTCAACCGTACGTACGGCATTACGTAACCCCATTCTCGAGGTTCTCGAGGTGGATATCCTTTGGCCGCGTTGGGTAGCGAGGATTGGTGTAACCCGAGCCACGGAGGGCGGAGGCGTGTTTTCTGACGGCCGACCGTCAGCAACCCCATTAAGCATTATTACGTACGGCTCAACGGCGAGCGGTGCTTCCTGCACATTCTGGCAGCACGCGCCGGCTAAGGGGCTGCCACAAACTCGAGACACGCTTTTGGGATATGGGAAATTTTCGAGCTGGCTGGCTTTAGCGTTTAGGCCCATAAACTCGCACTCAACATGCGCACGTCGTCTGTCTCTTAAGTATTATTCATGCTCACAAGAGACACATGAGCGATTCTAAGATCAGGTCTGCCACCTCCCCGCTGGAAACGAAAATCTAAGTTACAAATCTCGAATAAATCTCGAAGCACACTTGAATGCTCACTTGGCAGGTAACATATGCGCCACGCGCCCCAACCGCTCCTCTGGTCGCCGCCGGCCTCCGCGGCGGCGGCGATGTCCCAGCGCCACCCATCGGCCAGCCCTCAGATCGATCGATCGGCGCTCAAAGTCGGCTTCAGATCCGAGAACGCTGCTGGCGCCGCCGCCGATCCCAGCGGCGACGCCAGCAGCTTCCTCTGCTCTCCAATGCGCCGAGAAGCGACGCGGGGGTGCTCGGCCCGCCATGCACGACGAAGGCTCCGCCGGGCGCGCGTCGGCCGGTCCGGTGGCACCCTCTGCGCGCGGCACCTGCCGGCGCCCCGACGACAGCCGTCGCGCCACCGCTGATGGAGGGGCGGTCGGCGCCGCTGCCGCCGCGCTGCCGGTGGGAGGGGCACTGGTGGTGGCCTGGGCGGCCCTCCGCCGCCGCTCGGGGCGCCCGGGCAGCGGTGGCAGCCTGCCGCCGCACCACTTCGAAATGCCCGCTGACCACTTCGAAATGCCCGCTCCGGCGGCCCGCGGTCGGCGCTATTCTTTTTTCTACAAGCAAAATTCGAGCCAATTGAGGAAACTGAAGCGGGCAGGCTGGAAGCACTGAGGGACGGCCGATTTTCGCCCAGTGGCAGGCCTGATCTTAGAATCGCTCACATGAGTCATGACCGACAACACCCTCTAGACTAGGGCTGAAAGCCGCAACACATTCTCACAGGGCAGAGCGGATTGAAGCCGTGACACCTATGAATAGTGAGCAGAAGAGAGAGGACTGTGCTTTTCCGATTGCGAGCCAACGAGTTCTCGAGCGCGCACATGCCATCCTGGTAATGAGCACAGGACCGTGGCTTTCCACGTCATGAATACAGCCATGCACGTTACCGATTTATCGTTCGCGTTGCCCAGGGTACGCAGAATGTGAAGGACATCCCTGTTTCATTAGGCCTGTGATATGGTCTGTAGGCTCCTCGGAGGCGGAGCAAGCCTCAGCATGTTACATGAAGCGCCCGTGCCAAAGGACGCAACGAAGGGAGTGAGGAGCACGCCCAACCCTGGTCGCTTGTGGCATTGCCAAAACCCAAAATTTAAGAACGGCTCAAAGGTCGTGGTAGAGCTTCGAGCGGCTGGGAATTGGTTACCAAGAATTGTAGTTGAAGAAGATGTCGCGTATCTCCTGAGGCGATGCACTAGAGCTAGCCACGCGTCGGGAAGTAGCACGTGGGCGCCGAGCCCAGAGCGCCACAGTCTTTGCTGATGTAGTAGATCTGCAGGTGGACAGACTCGACACCAGAGAGGTCGAGTCCGTCGGCGGAGCCGGTCGAAGCGCTGAACGTGTTGACCTATACATGCAAGGCAGTGGCTCGTTATGCACCCCCGTGTGGATGCGGCAAGGATCCTATTCACCGTCCAGGTAGTGTACAACGCGGCTTGATTGAAAGGATAGTCAGGAAAGGAGGAGAAGGCCGGCTTTTGGCTGAAGTAATCCGCCAAATTTCCTTTAGCCAGCTGCTCAGCAATGCAGTAGCCTTGCGCATCTGCGCCGGGACAGGTCCCTGGGGGCAGCGGTTCGGGCATATTGCAGATGCGCGTGTCTTTGGAAAACACAGGCGCCTGGTACCCCCACTGCTGCCCGCCATCTGGTAGGCACGCGTCGTCTTCACCCGGCCACGTAATGTCGGATCCGCGGTGCGCCACGTCCACGTCGAAGGTCACATCCAGCCTTATGTTGCCTTCCCCATCTTCCGATGAGACGAACAACACAACGGCTCCCGTCCTGTCGGGGACTGAGAATTCGTCCGAGCCCATGTGGTCATCGATGACGCCATCTTGGTCCCACAACTCGACCCTGATCGTCGATCCGGTCGGCTGTCCCCCGAAGTCAAATTCCTTGTTCCAAACGGGTTTATCTGTATCGTCTTTGACTTCCGTCTGGTATCGCTTCCCGTTGACAGACACCTTTACGTAGGGATCCGTCTCCCGGCCGTCGCGATCGCCCGTCCCCTCCTCATTGTTGCCTTTGCCAATGACGTTCCAGCCCGACACTACCGTTATCTTCAGCAACGCATCGAACATGGTACCGACGTCTGGTCCTTCGTTCCCGCAGTACCTCAACCCGTCGATCTCCAGGTAGTCGCAGCAACCACCATGACAACGCCGCGGCTCGGTGTCGAAAGAAGTGACCGCGAGAGGGAAAGTGCGCGGCACCTTGCGAATGGTGCACCCTTGCGAATTGGGGTAGTAGTCGGGGTAGTTCGGCGAGGTCACGCAAGTTCCTGTGCGATTAGGGGTACGGTAAAAGAGGAAGCTGTATGATAAGGGGTGCTATACAGCTCTATCAAAGGGCCATGCTGTGTCGGCGAGCGAGCATAAACGACCTGCTGGGTTGAGCTTGCAAAGCCCGGCGTCCACCGTCACGGGAGTGGCGGCCTCCGAGCGAAGCGGGACCGCTTCGGTGCCCGCAGGGCAGAGCTGACCAAGGAGGCCGGCGGAGTCGAGCTCCTTGATCTGGCAAGCGGAAGCTGCCGAGTAATTCTGCTTCGGCAGCTTGACATCCTTCGTGAGGTACCTACGACAAGGTGGACGTTAAGTCATGACCGCACGCAGAATTGCAACAGCGGTGGCGCTTCGCACTCTTGCATCTCTTTGAACTCCTTGTACTCCGGGTGGGGTTTGTTCATCTCGGTAAGCCACGACGGAACGC